ATTTCAAGAGAATTTTATTTCTCCGATGTACCCATCTTTTTAAATGCTGAATAAATCTTAATTACACAAATACTTTTTATAAAATTCTTCTATGTGAGAATTAAGAAGCATCAGAGAGTGCAAGTACGTTTGACTTTGTAATTTCGAGTATTTCGAAAAACCGAAAAAGAAAGACCACAGAGAAAGCCAGCAACAGATTTGTAATTCTGTATTGTATGAAAAGAATTCTGTAAGAAAATCTTTTAGAATTGGATTTTTTTTTATAAAAAATAAAGATCTCTATTTGATAAAGTATGACGTTTATATGTAAGTTAAATTTGACTAAATTTTTAATGCAATAAAATTTTGAGTTCGACACATTTGAATGAATGAGACACCTTATCATACCGGGTATTTATTTATTATCATTTTGTAAGGACTGCATCAAATTTCCTGTCGAAACAAGTTAAGCTTAACACTACTTCCAATGAGCGATAAAATTTTGCACCATTATGTCGTGCAAGTATTTTTTTCAAGCGTATTTTTATTATTTGTATCGACCAAAAACACAGAGAGAAATATAATTTTTTTTTTTTATAAATACTATTTCTTTGTTGTGCATTAATCTGAAAATTCAGTACTGTACTCTATAAATTATTTTTAAAAAAGGAAATTATGATTTTTTTTTATGTATATTCAAAAGAATTTATGGAATTTAAAATATCACAATCCGCAATTTTTATGACAAATTATTTTTAAAATTCTTCCTTGTCGCAGATTTTTAAAACCGAAGAAAGGGAAGAAGAGGTAGCGGTTTGTATAAATTTGCAAAAGTCATTTTCCTTGTATCAAAATAATTATCACAATATACAGTGTGTATATAAAATAATATAAAATCACCTTCCTCAATGTTTTAATTGAAGTTTCCAATGAAAAAAATCTTTGTCATTTAACACCAAGGTATTAAAAGTAACGTTTCATTTTATTGTACTAGAAATCTCTTCCTTACAACTCTAATTTAAATGAATAGAGAACGCGGCGCTTCAGAACAGAAAAATTATATATATTTAGTCTACATCTTTGCTTCTAAATTATTTTTTATGATTTTCCTTTTAATTAAAAAAAAAAAAATACTTAAAAAAAACTCTGAACAATACAAACCATATTCTTCGTGCAGAAAATTATTTGCAGGAAATTTTCCACATGTATTGTTTTCATATTTTTCAAATTGAAAACAAGAAAACTTACCTTTCATAATAAGTAAAGAAATCAGAGCAACACATTTGATTTTAAATCTTAACCTTTCAAATGCTAGTGGAACGAAATTTACGAAGAAGTAGACATCAGCTCTTAATGGAATCTTGCGGTTACTCTATACACTCCTTTTTCTAGAACAAATGAATGATGGGTTATAGGAATGCCCGATGTTGATTTGCAGGTCTAATTGTTGACCGAAAGTATAACCTCGAGAAATATGCACCTGGTAAGTATTTTGAATATTAACAGTAATTTATTATTTCGATTTTTGTCAATTTATTTTTTCAAGCAGGGATTTTTATCAAAACGTTATAACCTAAGTCGTAAAGTAAAACAGTTATATTCTTTTTCTCTCAAAGTACTTTGAAGTCAAAGTGTCGAACCCTGTGCGAAGGAATCAAAAACCTATATGTTTTATGTGTTTTTTTCTATCAACTTGTACGACTTCCCGACCACTACGTTTGTGATGAGCAGAAAAAAGACGATGAAGATTGTATTTAATTTAGTAGCTTGTTTCCCAACCTTTGACTCCAGGGAGACATATTTGACTAATTTCACAATTTATTTTTTCCCATTGTACATGAAAAATGGTTCACTTGCTGGAATAGAAGCTGAAAGTGTTGTTAGAGTTTAAGCATAGGCACAATACAGCAAAAGATAGGAGGGGTGCGTGAGTCAGATAACCAAACAAGAGCCAAAGCACACTAAATCAGAAAGAATGTTACTTCATAAATCAAAACTGGTGGACAAAACAACAACACCCATATGTTTTGACAAATTATTGAATTTTGTGGTGGTTTTGCGAGTTTCTAGTGCTATATAAGCATAGAAAGCTTGGATAATTTTACATCTTATAGTATGCAGCGAAAACAGCATATCCTTGCCTAAATTTTTATTAAATAAATTAAAAACAAGTAGATAAATTAAATTTTGCGTTTTATTTTGATAACGAATCGAAAACACTATTTAGATAAGTGTAACAATAAAACATAGTTTCAAAAACGGAAAAAAATTATTCGGAACTTCAAAGGGGGAGAAGCATGCGTCCTCGATACATTTTACAACAAAGACGTTTCCCTCTGTAGTCTGGACAGCTACATGTATACATTGTGTTTCTTTTTCGAGCTCCATGTTACAATGATACATGTATGTTTTGTCACACAAAAATTCACGCATTGTTCCATATACGTGTACATTTACAGTCAGAGAACATTTTCCCCAATTAAAACAAACAAATTAATTAAGATTCTAATCATGAAATACTTTGCCGATAAAGTTTTCAAGTACATGTAGCAACTTTTTTTAATCCATGATATTTGACCATAAACCTTTGAACCTCTTTTGCTCGCATGTAAACAGAAGGTCGTGAAGTGGTAACTAATTTTAATTAAACACTCGAAATGTGCATTATATGTGAGGGTAAAGGTTTTTTTGTGTCGCCTGCATGGGCCATGTTCTACAAAATATCTTACCACCAATATAATAATGGTTTTATTCAAATAACTTTTCTTATCTACATTACTTTGAAAATGGTTTTCATCTTTCTGAATAAAAAACTAAGAAGAAGATATTTTAATTTATGCAAGCAATTTTTAACAGAAACAAGTTTTGAAAGATTTTACAACCGACCAGATGTTTTTGTTTTAGTCGTAAGTTCTTTGTAAAACAGGTCTTGACTCTGCAAGCGATCCTTAGAATCTATCTATCCATCTGTCACACATTATGTCTTGAAAACTGTAAGAGGTATGATTTCGCACATTATACATTTGTACACAGTATTCATTGATTTTTGTAAAACACACCGTGACCCCATAATTTAGCTTTTGACCTACTTTTAAGTAATCTTAAAAGACTACTTACTGTGAAATCACAAATTTTTGTGGGGGTTTAATTGTTGTTTTCGAGGTGTGAAAAGACCTACGAATTCATGTCAACCACGAAATGTAGAATGTGACATACATAACTACTCAGCAATTGTATATTTCCACGAAATCAAATACCCACGAACCAAGAGTTTTTCCTCAAACCACGAAATTTTGACCCCACGAAAATATGTGATTTTACAGTATTTTGTATTTTTGATGGAAAAGTTGAGAGACTTTCGTCACCACCAATTTACCTCTTCCAAATCGTAACCCAGTGCCAAACAATAGATTTGGAAAATCTTACCCAAACAATGGATTGGATTGAATTAAATTTCTTGCCTGTTTCATCCTTTCGCTTTGGATATCCTTTAAACTGTCCATAAAATTGAGAGGTAGGGTATCATAATTATTAGCCAGATTTTATATTATGAGTACTGGTAAGCCGGGTCTCAACATCTTTAGGTGTTCTTCTTTGAATAGCTGATTATCCTTTAGATTTTATTCTATTAATTAATGATGCTGTAAAGTAGGTTACACCTTGAACATAAGTTTTGAGAAGGAAGATTTTCATATAACCTTCAAGAAGTTAAGACGTACTGCCGTTTATAAATAATTAATTACATGTAAAAGAAATTCCCGGCCAATGAGTACAATAAAATCGTGTTATAAATGTCGTGTACTCATTATATGAATTTAAATTTCATTTGTTAAATACAATTATTTTAAAAACGAGATTCAGAAAAGATTTTTTAATGAATTATATTCAGGTGTGGGTTTTTTTGGTCAATTGAGCATGTAAGTTACTGCACATGTACATTTACATACATGTGTTGTTGCACAGGAAATTGAATTGCTGAAAACACTTTCTGGATCTACGTACATATTTAGGCAGCTGACACATGTCACAAGATATTTCCACAAACTAAATTCTCTGGAATTTAAAAAAGAAGCAAAGTTTGTTCGTCAAATAATTATGTGCCCGTTTGGGCAGCTTATGGCGAGGGCTGCAATTTCTCAAATATAGGTTAAAATCCAAAATCAAGTCAAAATTGTTGGTATCCGATGGAAGGTCTCCTCAAAAGGAATATATCTTTGAAGTATGAAAGCCCTAGTACCAATGGCTCAAAAGTTATGGTCAAGGTTAAAGTGTGGATCAAACACTAAATTGGTGGTATTCAAGGGAAGGTCTTATCACATGGAATATATCTCTTAAATATGAAAGCCTTAGCTTTAACGGTTCAAAAGTTATGGGCAAATTCAAGTTTTTTAAAAGTGGACCAAACTCTTAACTCTTCCTGAAAAAAAAACAAACTTTGATTTATTTTTTTTTAACATGCTTCTTTATTTCTGTCGATGATGCAATCTGTGCATTCCTGATTTGATTCGAGATCACATGACCAAAACAATCCCGTCTTTTGACTTCACCGTATGCCAAGGGTTTATGAGGAGAGTAGCATATCAGAAACCCTTGGCTAGCGAAGATATAAAAATATAAATTTTTATATCTTTTTTTATAAAAATTGGAGAGAGAGAGAGAGAGAGTTGTGACATTTAGTGAAAAAATACTAAAGTGTATCAGGGGCTACGAAGGACAACTCTTGCTCTTGAATGGATAATGTCTGCTTCTTAAAAATTGACGGGGGGAAAAGGTTAGACTTAGGAATGACCCATTCTCTAGACAAGTGATTATAGGGACGATGGACCGATGAGGCTAAGTTCAAAATGTTGCACAAAAGACCCTGGTTCGAATGAGATCAGTGCAGTAGTTGTTGGTATCAAAAACATTTAGTAGGTATTAGTTAAAAGGTATGAATTTCACAGCAACAAAAAAAACTGTAGCTTATATCTATCCTAGCAATATCCATGCAAAACTGTATCTGAAAGAAAACTAAGATATACTGATTAACTACTAGTACTTGTATACGTTTACTTGCAAGGTTTGATATTATGCGCTTCGACTGATGGCAGGATATCATGAAAGGCAACTATAGCTACCTATTATTATAACCGAATCTAGATATATGCAAAAAATAATGGGATTATAAAAGAAAATGTCGGACATTTGACCATGAGTACTTTAATGTTCCTCATCAACAAATGTACATGTAACACAAACTCCGCATCCTGCGGAACAGATCAATATTCTGCAGAAGTACAGAATGCCTCTCTAGCATAACGCTGTCTTGATTATTTTGTAAGCAGAATTCGATCTTTCTCTTCATTCTGTTCGGTTTACTTCAATTACAACTATCTATTTCGAATCGAATATAAGTTAGTTATCTCCATACATCTTTAACTTACCTCTGATAGAGAAGTTTGTGTGTATCTCATTCAAGAAAGGAAATATATGGTCTCGGTATTTACTTCACTTTGGACTTTATATGGATGAATTATAATTGCGCAAATAACATGTAAACAAGTGAATCAAAATTGATTCTGAGCGTGTGCCAACATTTCATCATTGGTACTATAAAGATCAGCATCTATGATTCAGGATTGACTCAACTTCTGAATCAGGTGGGTATCGATAGGTTATTGTGGTGACAGTCTCTAAGAGCAAGTATGACAATGTTGGCAAGGGTCCAATTTTTCTGGAATATCATTTGTTTACTTTCAGAATTCTACGCCACTATTACTTGGAAGGTTAAAGGGTTAATATGTCCAATAGAGCGCATAACTGTTGATTAATGTCATTAATCTTTTAATTAAATTTCTGTAATACTAAGGAAATCGGTAAAAGGTGGGGTACCTTTTACTACGAAGTACAGAACTTGAATTATCACTGAATTAAAAAATATCAGTATTAATATTCTTGCCAACACTCCCGCTTTTATGTTACCTGAGTACTTGGTTGATATATTTTTATGTTTTACTCCGTCATTATACGTTCTCTATTAAACTGAGAGCATTACACAAGGACTGAATCGTTGTATCTAGAGGGGGGTCCTGAACCACTGGCATATGTGGCTTACTGGAGCCTCGATATGGACAGAGCCAAAAACATTTAAAAAGTTTTTCACTAAGATCAAGACTGTTGACAAGACTGGATAAAACCAACGTGTCTTTTACACTTAATCTCTGTTAAACTTTTGAAATCCACGATCATGGTATGCTCAAGTATTGAACTAGTAGGCCAGGTACTGGAAATAACACAAGTTGAAAAAAACACTTCTGCACTCTTGAATATTAGGAAGACAAAATGCTAACATGATTAAAATAAGCAATAAGCGTTCTAACAAAATAAAGTATGAAGGCTTGAACTTTTGGTATAGTCGCCATTGAGAGGCAACATGGCCTTATATTGAAATTGCAATTACATTAGTGAACATGCACCTTCTTTCCAAAATTACATGTATAGTAGTCTAGATCTCGTTTAGTGTACGATAGTCAGATAATTTTATTAGATGGGGATCTGAATCCTGGATATAGGAAACTAATGGTCATTATACGCCATGCTTGAAAAATGGGAGGGTTTACAGTCATCGTGATGTCATTCTGTCTTTAATGTTGAAGGGTATCCATCTTTTATCCGCAACTCCTCATATAACACTGATTAAAATTCAATTTCATCACGCCATTGTGCACATCCTATTTTACGTTTTGATCTGACACTCATTTCAAGTCTCTCAGAGCAAAAACATTGATTTTTCCATTAAAATCATAATTATGACGGGTAGGGGTATCATTTAGTGAGCATAGTTGCCATATTGTCTCTAGTTTTTATATCATATATTTTACTTAATATACATGTAGCTAGCTAGTTTTCATTTTCAAGCAAATAATTTACCTACTAATATATCCAATGTCATGTTATTCACAGAGGAACAGGTGCTGTCCACATTAAATTGTTGGAGGAGGGTTGCAAATTTATACCTATTCTCGGCACTCGGGGCAATAGAGGACAACAGCTTGTACACGTATTTGATTCCAAATGGCAGCATAGAGGACCATGTCAACATAACAATATATACGACCAGTGCAATGACAAAAAAATAACTTGTTCATCATGTTATATTAAATGAAATAAATAAATGATTTAGAAACATGGAGCTCTTCAGGATACTTTACTTTTAGTATAGATAATTAAAAAAGTGTGAACCATGCATTGTCAAACACTTTATCTTCGGTTATTAAAGAATATCTAGCACAAAAAGCAGACAGGTCTAACGAAAATCTATAATTATGATGATTACATGATGTCATTTAAAATGCATTGAGGCAAATGTTCAATCCTGACAGTTAACACTCTCTCACTTGAATTTGTTGTTTTGAATAATTTACATAACTTGGCCAATCTATATTTATTATAAAAGTTGGGACATGGTTACTTTACTATAATAATTGTAATTACGAGCCCCTCGAATGTGTACGTGGTGATGAGGTTTGGGAGAATTTATTAAAATATAGACTCGCTTACTCTGAAGGTTAATGAAATAATGGACATTACGTTCCATATATAACAGGCAATTTGTGTGAGATAATTTATATTTTTGCAGAAATGTAACATTTAAAATGCCTTTATATAGTGACCCACTTCTTAATAATGAACGTGTGGATAGAATTAAAGTCGATATTCAAGAGTAACGAGTTTCTGCTGATATTTTTTTCCATTAAGCTAGCTTTTGGTTCTGAAGGGAGATATAAGCTTATCATTGAAAAAAAAGTATTATACAAAAACAAAGATTTTTCTCCGTTTCTTATGCTGGTAATTAATGCGGAGCATGGACTAGCTCTTACTTGTTATGATTCTTAGGGATAAGTTAATGTAGGCACTTGGACGACTCTTGAAAGCTTGCGCAAAAATATAATAAATATATTATAGCTTTAATCAAACAAAATCTTAAGAGTTGTGTTTCCTTCAATAAAGATTGCTGATTTTCAAAGACATTTGTGATTTTTATACGGGATAGATAGCGACGAAGAAACAACAAAAAATCCTTACAATTTTGAAGTACCGGTACTTAAAAAAGAGTTTTAACAATTGATGATAATTTTGACACTATCTATATAATGGCATATTGTCCCCACTTTCACAAATAGGTGTATATGAATTTCAGTATGTCTGTCCATCCGTCTGAATTTCTGTCTTTATAGCACTTTCGTTTCCGCGCGATATCATAAGAAGTATTTGCAATAGAATTTTACACAGCAACTTACTATGCCTATTGATTTTGAGATCCAAAGATCAATGTCATTCTTAGTAGTTCATTTTCGGTTTCTCGTGACATCTTGAGCTTTTGCAGTGAAACTTTATACTTTAACTTCCCATGGCTTAGGAAGGAGACCTATTTATTTTGATGGTCGTAAATTCTTACATTATGACATTCAATTTCGAGCGATATCTTAAGAAGCTTCGTTTTTGTATCTACAATATTGTAACGTGCTGACGATAGACTTTGAATTGCCGGATGTCTGTTATAGTGCAGTTAAGATATTGGAGTTTGAATTTATTTTTTATAATTTAATTTTTCTCTGACGTCAGGAACTATACAAGTACCAAAAACACAAAATGATGAGTCTGCTTCAATTCCACAATTTTATCAAGTATAATAATTCCTTTTTACAAGATATTAAATTAATAGCCTCCTTAAAATAATCATAAGATTCCCTATCCAGAGTTGTCGTTCCTGCTTCGCTCCCTCATACATGTTATACAAGATTCTTTGAAAATTTGTAAATGATTAAGTTGTATTAATTATTGTTTTAATTATATTTCCTATCGGAAAAAATTACTCCGCAAAATAGATCTCTAAAAACTATGAAAATAAGTTGTTTTTAGGGATTATAGATTTAAAATAAATGATGAATTATCATCTTTATCGATAAGTACAATAATTGACTATTTTAATTACGAATCTTCACTGTTTGAATTTTGTACAAGAATTTTGTACAACGAGTGTTGACAGAGGTGGTGTTAGCGTTGCGGAAAACAATTCTGGATAGAGAATGCAAAATAAAATGAAATTAATTCCCTTTTTCCCTACAATTTCCCCCTCCAAAAAGCTCCAGAACTCGAACAAGCCTTAGTCAGAAACTAACCCTGAATATGTGACATAATTTACTTTCACTTATTAATAAATTAATACGATCAGATTCCCAAATTATGGAAACACATGTATGTGATCAATCTAAATCCAATGAAATAGTTCTTTACAATTTCAAGCAGTTTTAACCCAATTAAATTCCAAATGAATAAATAAACTTACATATTCAAAAATAATCTGAACCCCACTTCCTTCTTTACACCCAAAAGTTACAAACTAACTGAAAATTAACGAAAACGTCTCGTGCTACATAGTTCCATAATTAAAACTTGCAAACAAGTAAAATTGTACAATTTAAATACAACTTTTCATTCAACATCTCAGAAATAAATAATAAAAATATTATTTTGTTTACTTACAGTGTAAACGTGATGAAATTCACAACGTATGAATATTAATAGAGGTGAAATCTAAAAACTGCAAATTGACCGGAAGTAAAGGTCAACCAGGAACTACAGAAAATACTAAGTCAACTTTCATCAAATAGTGTGAAAAAGTGGAATTTCGATAATGCATATGTTGCATTTCACCCATGGATGTTTTACCTACAGTATGTGAAAGTAACGTGTGGGTCTCCGAATTCTGTTTGTTGAACAAAAGAGCGAAGAATTTAATAGTAGTACAAATTTATTTTAATTCAGGAATGAATCGAATTCTTGGCCAAATTATTCGATATAACCTGGTTTGGGTCAGTTTACGCTTCATAATCCGCGAAGCGTATTATAAAAAAAGCTTAAACTGACCCAAACCAGGTTATACTCAAATAATTAATTTGGCCAAGAATTAGAGTCATTCCTTATAATTTGATTTTAAAATAATTAAACAAATGTGGATACAAAATTGTGCTGCTTTTTGCCGCTCATTAATACATGTACAACCGTAGTAACGGAAGTGATGTGAAACGAGGGGAGGTAATTATAACTGATACGCAGGCTCTAGTAGCCATGATGTTTGTTTACATGAGGTGAGATTGAGTTATTGATTGAAGTCAAGGGTACATTTATTATACCCCACGCAACAAGTTGCGTGAGCTATAATGTTATTGACCCATCCGTCCGTCAGTCAGAGGTTTTTTTGTCAGCGCAACTCCTCTTAAACCGCTGCACAGAATTTCATCAAACTTTGCAGATATTCAGGACGTGCATATTACCAGGAAATTCCTATTCCTTCATTTTTCCGCACTTTTTAACTTAGATTTTTGGCTGTACATTGAATATAGAGATGAAGAGTTTGTCAGCGCAACTCCTCTTAAACCACTGCACAGAATTTCGTCAAACTTTGCAGTATTTAGGACACAATGTGTAGATGTGCATATGACCAGGAAATTTCGAATCCTTTATTTCTTCCAGGAATTTCCACAATTTTCAACTTAGATTTTGCCATACCTCGAATATAGAGATGAACAGTTTGTCAGCGCAACTCCTCTTAAACCGCAGCACAGAATTTCGTCAAACTTTGCAGATATTTAGGACACAATGTGAAGATGTGTATATTACCAGGAAATTTCGATTCTTTTATGTTTTCCGGGAATTTTCACACTTTTCAACTTAGATTTTTTTTCCATACATTGAAAATAGAGATGAACAGTTTGTCAGCGCAACTCCTCTTAAACCGCTACACAGAATTTCGTCAAACTTAGCAGATATTTAGGACACAATATGTAGATTTGCATATTACCAGGAAATTCTGACTCTTTTATTTCTTCCGGGAATTTTCACACTTTTCAACTTAGATTTTTGGCCATACCTTGAATATAGATGAAAAGTTTGTTAGCACAACTCCTCTTAAACCGCTGCACAGACTTTCGTCAAACTTTGCAGATATTTAGGACACAATGTGTAGATGTGCATATTACCGGGATATTTCAATCCCTTTATTTTTTTTCAGGATTTTCAGCACTTAAAGTTTTGGGGGAGCGTGGGGTATGTGAGCTCTCTTATTAAATCTGGAAATTTCCATGAATCCCGAGGACTGCATGGGTACAGATGATTAAATTGGTTGTCAAGGGGGTGTGTCCTCAAACTTAACCAGATTAAACAGAATAATTTGCTTACCTTTTCGGAAATTAACCAATGAGAGGCTAGAAGGCAAACAAAATTAAATTATTATTAGATAAACTTTTATCCTGCTCCTCCCAAAATTCAGTAAAAATAATTTATATAAAAGATCCTATTAATAGATTATCCCAAATTTTGGTCAGGCATCAGCTTCCATTAATTAAAGTTTAGAATTGACAATTACCCAACAAGACTCCTCAGCCATGGTAGTCTTTAACCTAAGATGAGGAGGAGCAACGCAGGTATGTTGAGGAAGCATATAAATCATTTCTCGGGAAATTTAGACTTTTTAAAGAAAAATACTAAGTTTGATAATTTACCAAAATCGCTGAAAAACGTTAACTATTATTATCTATTACACGAAGATGAAAGAGTGTCAAAAGCAAAGACGTGCACCATCACCACGGCATCACGTGACTTCTATAATTAGCGAAATGTTCCTTAATAAAAAAGCTAGAACAACAATACCCCGGAGTTTGATATTCACGATATTTGATTTTAAACTTTATTTTACGTATCTTTGCACATGTACATGCCGTCATCGCCAAATTCTCTTTACACGACATGATCAATTCCCAAGTTACTTCATGTAAACATATGCAATGACGTTATCGGTGGTAGATTTTAATCAAAATGACAGATACAGCAAAACAAAATAAAAACATTTTATTTTTGTTAATGTTTACACGTTTCATTCTATTTTCTAATGTTTAATTACATCTCTAAATAGAGAGGTTTATTTACACGTCATTAGACGAACTTGTACGGGTGACGTCGTGAATTGTTGTGCTCTTTGACATCATGACCTCGATTCGTGATGTGTACCTACAAGTCTACATGTACAACGTGTAAAACCTATTTGGCACAAACAAGTTTATCAATAAACTACTAAATTTCTTGTTATAATTTATAGATTACAATGAGTGATGAGATAAGATAATCAACTCATCTTACTAGTGAATGTTTACTTCTACAAAAATATGCATACTTTAGAAATATTTTAACTGATACCATGCAGCATGTTTATTTCGTCTTCGGAATCGTGTGATCTAAACACCTACCCTGTCCCTACAAGCATCATTGGGCCTAGTGAACGTGCTTTTTTCCATAATATTGTTTAAAACTCGGTCTAACATCTTTTTATTTCATCCATATTTTTTTTTCTCAATGAATATTTTCTTAAATCTATAAATACAAATTTAACGAAATATACACATATTAGTATAGTCCTAGCTTTTTTAAAGGCCTAACTAATTTTAAAGTCGGGATTAAATAAAGTCGAAACCATGGTTCATTTTTAAAAGTTTAGTAACATTTGCGTTTTTTGTGTAATTTAGATTAGAGTAACCCCCTCCCCCACCAAATCAATCCCCTCCAGTGGGAAAAGGGGGATTGTGTAAGTGAATGGTGGTGTTTGCACTGAAACTTACCCCCCCCCTTTTTTTAAGACATTAATTATAAATCGCATAATCTTTCGTTTTTACAGAATGGCAGTTCAAATTAAAGAAAAAAATGTTTCGTTTCGGAATCAAGGACGATTTAATTCTGTTAACAGAAGTAGTATCTATAAACCCCTTTAATTCGGAAGAAAATGCAACAGCTTAGACGAATGTGGCAGAAAATTAGAAAATGTTATGGATATAATGAAAGACGCGATGGTGGACTGAACAAGATGCAGAAAAAGGACTGTTTTACTTATTTTTTTACTTCAAAAGTGATGACAGGGAGAAATTGTACAACGCAGCTAGGTTAAGGACTGCCAAAGGTAGATCAGGCCCCGCCGTCACCAAAATTCCTCAACCTCAACCTCAATATTCAACTAAAACCCCTTGAGGTTTCCTTAACTGAGGATTTCCTCAATTCACCGTCACCAAACAGACTGAGTATCACCTCAATTGAGGTGATTTTTTTCCCCTCAACTCAGTTGAGTGGTTACATCAATAACATCGCGCACTTTCGCGGAATTTTTACGTAATGATTTTACGCAATAAATATCTGTCGTCTGTGTGTTATTTTGGTATGAAAATGGCTGAGAAAGACATAATTGGGTTGATATCAGGGGGTAAAAGGAAACGGGGGGCTAATTGGACCAGCGAGGAGGAGATAACTTTAATTGAAGAGGTTTTAAAATTCGAACAACAACTATTTGGAAAGATGAAAGGGGCGGGGGTTAAAGGGAAACATGGAAAGGTAAAAGAAGAAACTTGGAAGTCCATCACTGACACACTGAATTTGTGAGTACTGTTATATCAATCTGAATTCACTTACTTTTTGTTTTGACCATGATCAGACGATTCTCGCTGTGATCTCCCTTTGTAGGTGTAAAGACAAATTTCATCCCAGTATATTCCAGTCCTAAATTAATACGGACAATGTTTTCTGTTCGTAACTGTAAATGCCCACAGTTAATCAAAATTCCTCCGTTAATTTAATAAAAACTCATCTTAAACAGCATCACATATGTTGGTTACATCGTTATGTCGTGTGTTATATACCATTTCTGGTCACAAACGACGAAAGCGGGTGGGGGCCCAAATATCGGTACAAACCACTTCAGACCGTGGCTTCAGACATTAATAATATTGGGGATTAAAGAAATTCATTTAAGGAATGACTCTAATTCTTGGCCAAATTATCGAGTATAATATGGTTTGGTCAGTTTACGCTTTATAATCCGCGAAGCGGATTATAAAAAAAGTGTAAACTGACCCAAACCATATTATACTCGATAATCTGGCCAAGAATTAGAGTCATTCCTTATAATTTAATTTTAAAATAATTAAACAACTGGGGATGTAAAATTGTGTTGTTTTTATTAGTTCAAATTTACCGCGCAATAATACAACCGTAGTAACGGAAGTGATGGGAAGCAAGGGGAGGTAAAAACTGATACATAGATATAGCAGCCATGATGCTTGTTTACATGAGGTAAGATCGAGCAACTGTTTGAAGTTAAAGGTACATTCATTAAATCTGGAATTTTTCATGAATCCGAAGGACTGGAAATGAGGGGATTGATGGATACAGATGATTCAGCTGGTTGTCAAGGGGGTGTGTCCCCATACCAAACCAGATTATACAAAATGTTATGCGTTCCTCTTTTGGAAATCAACCAATGAGAGACAAGAATACACACAGAATTAAATTATTTTAAAATCAAAAATCAAGTCCCAAATGGTGGTGGTGGGGGGGGGGGGGTATCGAGGAATAATTTGACTATCCTACAGATTTTTTTTAAAATTATGATACAAGAAAACGAATATTACGGTGGTATATTTAGGACACGCAATTATTTTTTTTTTAAGTACCAGAAAAAAATTATCTTGTGAAAACGACATATTTATCTTGTGAAAACGAGATATTATCTTGTGAAAACGACTTATTATCTTGTGAAAACGACATAACTACCTTGTGAAAACGAGATATTATCTTGTGAAGACGAGATATTATCTTGTGAAAACGACATAATATAATAAGTCGTTTTCACAAGATAATATCTCGTTTTCACAAGATAATATCTCGTTTTCACAAGATAATATCTCGTTTTCACAAGATAATAAGTCGTTTTCACAAGATAATTTTTTTCTGGTATTTAAAAAAAAATTATTGCGTGTCCTAAATATACCACCGTAGAATATAAATGACTACAATATATATATATTTGTTTTAATAAACAAAACAAAAATATAACTATTTAAATAAAAAAATATAATTATGTTTAAGTATATTCTATGTGATTATCCACTATAATATTTAAAAAGAATGTTACACTATTAAAATGAGATGTCAAATTTGTCTAACACAAATTAGAATTTATCAATGTTTTGTTTTTAATTTCATTTATACAGACAATTTAAAAACGACAGAACATCTGACTCCATCTACAAAAAGTATGATAACATCAAACAGAGAGGTAAAATATTATTACTTTTTTTTTTTTTAGAGTTGACCAAAGTATTTTTTTGGAAATATTTATAAATGAGAACTGTTAAAAATCGCCATCAATTGTAGCAAAAGAGAAAATTGATGACATACGCAGGCCCAAGACTGGGGGAGGTCCACCATCAGCGCCCCTCACTCAGGCAGAGGAGGCATTGTACCAGGCGATGGATACTCGACCCAACATCGTTGGCTTAGTGGGAAGCATTGATACCGATGGTAATTTAAACAATGTCACTTATTTAAGAGGTAGAACTTTGCCAGAGTAAAATTCTCCTTCTCTAGTAGAGTTAAGAATTTAAAAAGATGTCATAATTTGGGACCGCGGAAAACTTTAAACATTCAATATACATGTACTTGTAATTATAGAACCAATAACATCTGTCCAAACACAAGAGTTAGCAGCAGTTGTTGAAGGAACCGGTGATGCTTCATCATCAAAGAGCTCCGGTTTAAGTTTATCATTTAGTACAAATTCAGGTAAGATACCTATCATTTTAAAAATATATTAACATTAATCTTTGATAAAATGGTACATACGCAAGTACAGTGTATATATTTGCATTTATATTTTTTGTGGAAGATGTATGGCCTAAGGAAAAGAAGAGGAAGATGGCACCACGAGAGATCTTGGATGATCTAGAGATAAAAAATAGTAAACTTGAAAATGAGAAGCTGACACAACAAATAAACAAGCTTGTTCAAGAACAAAAGAAATTAGCCTTAGAGGAGAAAAAATTGCAAACAGAGATTGAAATGCTTGAGATTAAAAAATCATATTTATTGTGTAAATTAAGCTCTGAATTTCCAGAATTTATCATAAACCCTGTGTGTCAATGACCAACTACTTTTGAGAGGCTCTGAATAGATCACAAACTCTTGAATTGGGATCAGTAAATGTGAAATATTTATTTTTTAAACAATAAATAAACGCATGTACTTCAGTATATCAAATGAAATTCTGAAACATATGTCACTATAAACCGTCAACCACTTGAAAATGACCTGAAATAGACAAAAAAATGTTTATCGGCACAATGATTGTTATATTAATAATCATTTGTCATTGGTTGAATCAATGTATAGTTGTATACATACACGTAAGTTGTGTGATCTTCAGTATTATGAATTAAAAAATATGCAAGTGTTTATGAATATGTGCATACCTACATGTAGCTCTACCCGAAATACGTCTGTGCGATATAGTCTCGCAAGTGACTTCCCTCTGGAGAATTGCACACAACTTGGTGGGCCGTCGGATCAAATGCATCCACTTGCTGGTCCAATCTATCCATCACATCACCAGTTCGAATCCAAAGATTATGAAGGATGACGCAAGCGACAACGTATGCTACTGCCTGTTCAGGGGCCTTTCTGTAAAAAAAAAAATCAAATTAGATTTGAATTTTTACTTAATTACATGTATTTTGATTGTGTTAGTCCCCAAGAGATGGCCGTCAATATTTTAGTTGGAGCCAATATGAAATATTTAGACGGTTTATCTGTTAAAAAAAAATAGAGGGTATTATTTACTGAATATAGCAAAATATCTTTTTTTAGAAGTTGCATGTATTTCATCTAAATAATGCAAAGCTTCTTTACCTCAGAGTTCCTTGAAGACAGGAAAACCTCCGTTTCAGAATACCAAAACTTTGCTCAATAAGAACTCTGGTTCGACACAGAGATGCATTAAATCGTTGGTGAGCGTTTGTCTGCGGGTTGAGGTATGGTATCATTAAATAGCGTCGACAGGGGTATCCAGAATCGCCCAACAAAATGCCATTGTGTTCACCTAAACGTACAAGAGTTTCTTAATTGAATTTCTAGAATAATAACCTTCAACATTTCAAATTTATTTCCCTTCTCCATCGATAAACAAATGGATCAATTTTTCTGGTAAAATATAAATAAAGTTGTTTACCTCTTTCGAATTGTCGACAAAGGAAGGATTCCCGCCAAATCCTGCTATCATGGACACTACCGGGCCAGCTGGCACACACACTCGTGAATTGGAAGTTGGCATCACAAACCATCTATTTGAAATCAAAATGAAACCCTAACTTTTTAAGATGGCTGATAAATTGCATATAATGCTGCAAAGTTAAAGAATTTAAATAAAAATAATATTGATATGCAGTCTCGTAGCATCAGAAGGGGTGTGGGAGGCAACTTTTTGTTGCAGTATAGTCAGATAAATATGATTTAGTAATTAGGAGTTCAAACGACTTTTAAAATAAAATTTCTGCTTATCAAGTCCTTTTTTCAGGGGAATAGATTTTTTCATTGGCTGCCCCTTTCAAAGACGACGCTCATATCACTGATGTTTTGATTAAATAGTCTATAACTTCAACATTGGAAGCATTTGATATGAGATAAAACAACAAGGAAAATAAAGAAGAAATAAAATACTGACCTGTACATTCAAAGAATGGAATCCCTTTCTATTCACAAAATCCGGTTCATTTTCAGTTGGAGCCATAATTCTAATGAATGTTCCATCAACGCATCCCAGTGTGTTCGGGAATCCTGTGTAAATTCATTATACAATGTATAATGTTTAAGTTTTATTTATTGAAGAATCTAACTTACAATGTGTGGTAAAAATAGTACATATATAGATATGACATCCTTTTAAATATACATAGTCATAAGCAGAAGTGGGATCTTGAAAAGGCTAGGGGAGGGGGGGAGCAGTTTGAGGTCGGGGTAGAGGCCCATTGCCATACACAAAAAATGATTTATTAAATCTTTTAAATTGTGAAGGGGGGGGGGGGTAAAATCTCATCACACACACACGCAAAAGACTGAAATAGATAACGAATAATTCAATTTACCGATTCATTACCATATATAATTATTTCATTTTTCATCAAAACACTATAGGTCAGCATGTTGGGATAAAATCATGAAATTGCAAAGTATTGGGGAAATTATAATAAACCATGAAGTAACTGAAGATATAATCAGTGATGGCATAATTTCAGCTGTTCTCAAAATGGAGTACAACTTGCGGGGAAAAAAAATTGTTGTAAACTTTTATTATAGAACAGTATCCTAAATATTGTACAGGGTGTGGTCATGAAAAATATCAAGACCAGTAATTGCTCTCTAGTTTTCATATATATTAAGAATGATTAGAGAGTTTAAACTAAATTATATTGTGAAGATGAAAGACAGTTAAATCCCGTCTTCTCCTACCCTACCCCACCCCCTAAAAAAACAAGAAGAGATGAAATCAATGTTAAGTGAAGTCAATCATTAAAAAAAAACCTCATGAATGTTACATCTGAGTTTAGGGAAATAGATTGTAACAATGCCGGTAAGTGTATCAAGTGTATTTACAAATCTTACATTTGAGTTAAGTGTGTCTTCGTACAAGATTAATTTCAGCATTTAAAGCCAATTCACGTTCAGAGACGGATAAAATTTGCAAGATTTAATAAAATAAAAAAAGATAGGCACATTAGGGGTTCTAATAACAAATCTCAAGTATCCTGTGAAAATTACAAAACAGTGGTCAGAATTTTGAAAGCATTAGTCTCTTAAATTATTTAGGACAATGTTGGGAAACACTTGGGGAATTAACATTATAGGATTATTATTTTGCCATAGTAACTGAAGTGGGGAATGTTGGATACTTCTGACTAAAAAAAATTGAATAAATGCTGATTAAAATGATATATAATGTATATGTAGCTTGTGTTGTCATTTATCTATCTGTCTTTAGATGTGTGACATATATTGTGAAACACCCTGTACATGCACGAAATCGAAAAGAACGAGTTATCCTTCCTACATGTAAGTTTTGAAAGAGAAAGTAGAAAAGAAAACAAAACGACGAACAACATACCGGCAATTTTGATGAACTCCTGCTTCGTTTTCCGCGCTTGTTCGTCTCTGGGGAAAACAATGAATTGTTGTCTAACAGTAAGGATGGCATTAGTGACTGATCTACAGCATCTACCGACAGTTGACTCAGACACATTCATGCTATCACCTATCAGTTTATGATAGGCGCCTGTCGCAAAGAACCTCAGACACACGAAGAGCTGTAAGAGCGGAGGTAAGGCATTGTTTTTTGTACTATCTATCAAAACCCCACCTATCAAGTCCAGTAAATACACGACTGAAGCCTGTCTAAAGCGATACCGGTCAAAAAGTTCATCGTCTGTGTAGGCTTCTAAGGGGTTCAGTCGGTCTCGTATCACCCTTTTTGACGGTCGATTGCGATATCTCCGAAACCTACGTCGTCTACGACGTCTGCCAGCCATGTTAAATTTGCTTGAGGAATTTTTTAAGGTTGCTATGAAGCTATCCTTAAATATTTGAGGATTTCCTCAAGATAATCCCTCAATTTTTTTTGGTGACGGTGACTTGAGGGTGAGGTGAGATATTTGAGGGAAAACCTCAGAGTTGAGGCTGAGTGTTGAGTTGAGGGATGTTGGTGACGGCGGGGCCAGTCTATGTAGAGCTTCGGGAAATCGATTATGACGTCACGTTGAAACTGCACAAATGAATCTCGGCGAATAAATAATAAATTTTCTTTTTCATACACTTTAACATACCGTGATTTCTCCTAATTATTGAAAACATGAATTCATGTGCAACTTATCTTGTCATTACAACACTATTTGAATGTAAAATTAAAGCCAACTTGATCTCGCTGTAGTGACAGGTAGGAAGTTATTACCGGCCGCCAGGAGGCGGTCGGTTATTAGTCAGCCCGCGGGCTGACTAGTTATGATACGAAGAACTTCAAATGCGCTTGCGCGTTTTGGAATTCTGGGAGTAGTTCTGCAGCAAATCACTCTTGCTAATTTCATTTCAGTAAAATCAGTATAGATTAAACAAAGAAAATAATCCCTATTTAACACCACGGTAACCTGTAAATTTAAATTCAACTTAAATAAGAAAGTCATTGATGCTTATTTATTTCTAGAAGCTTTGTACAATCCTACATAACAGTTTCAAACAGTTGTTAAAACCTGGTTCGCAGTAATTAAACTGGTTCGCATCTGATCGTGAAATGTGTTCTACGCAGTTAAGCATACAATTGTATGAACTCATATCGCAAAGTGTTTGAAGCGTTAATTGAAGTTCTTTTGTAAAGTATGTTGAAGGTATTTTATTTATGTATTTAAATCTACGACATAAACATTGTTTAATAGAGATTTTGAAGTTATTCAGTTTTTATTCGTTTTACTTTCGTTTTCATTACATCATTTCGATCCCGATGCAATATAGCGAACTGACTTGTTAAATCATACAACGGATACTTCGAGAAGAGACAAAACTGGCTAGCTTGCTCGTTTGTAATGTTCCCCGCTGGAAGTGGAGGATATTATTTTATTTCGGTCTGTTTGTCCTTCCGTGCCCCTGTCTGTAGTTCTGTCTGTAACACTTTCAATTCCGTGAAATAGTTCAAGAAGCCTTTGAGCTTTTGTAGTGAAATTTTACACAACTCACTATGGAAAACCCCTCTTGATTTTGAGGTAAAAATGTCAATGGTCAAGGTAATGAAATAGAACTTATGTCTGTTTGAACACCTTTGTGTCCGTGCAATATCTCGATAAGCTCTTGAGCTTTAGAAATGTAATTTTATACCACAACAACCTTTGCTGAAAGGAAGACACCTAAAGATTTATGTTGACGTTCAAATTTCAAGGTAATAAATTCACATCTCTGTGTGAGTGTGTGTAAAACTTTCATTTCCAGTCATTATCAAAAGAAACATTTTTGCGTTCTACAATCAAAGTTTATACCATAACTCGACCCACCATATGGTCCCGTGACCCCCCCCCCCCATTTGTTAGATCTGCGCATGCTTTTTTCCCTCTGAATTAGTTGTGTAGTGAATGAGACCATTTATGTTGCGGCAATCAGATTTAGGGATTTATAGTTTTCTTACGTTATAGAGGTTTGATAAATGAATTTGTTTACCAGTCACTGTGTCGCGTCAAAATCCTTCGTAAAGTCTTGATGTTCTGCTATAAAAGGTACAGTATTGAGCGTTATTTTTCCAATGCATATTTTTGAGTCAGGTATATAAATTATATATAATTAATTCTAAAAATTCTAAGCTCTTTTAAATGTTTGGAACGGAGCAGGTCTGGCCAAATACTTTGTTCTTAAACTCCTTTAGATCCGATGAGACTGGTTTATAATTTCATGGAATTATGTTTTGTGAAATGGAACTTAAATTTTTATTACATTATATATCTGTCTTTTAATTAAGAGACAAAACATGCAATACCGGTATAATGCATTTTTTTTCAGTACCGTAGTTTATGTATTCTTCAAAACATTATCACAGAGAAGAAAAATCCACTGGCTGGCTCTCTAAGCTTTTTTTAAAAGCTAAACTTGAATGATATGAAAGTTTTAAGTCGCTGTGCGTTTCTGCGGAGTTAGAACAATTTGAATAAAAAATATTTAACATTCATGTAATAGAATATTACGATAGAGTGTCTGAATGTAAATTAAAAACGTATAATAATCATCAAATTAAAATTTTATGAATAATGGGTTAAATGTTTCATCCAATCCTGATTGACAAACTCCGACGTAACTGAAGTGCGGAGAAATAAGCACACATGTCTGGCATAGTCTAAAGCAAGGACCGCGTTATATGATTGTCTAAACAAATTTTACTTTCTCTACTTCAACAGGATTTGTTGTATATATAATTTAAAATGACGTGTAAATATAAATATACAATGTACTTTAAATACGGAAAATTTTCAAAATCATGACTTAATCTTAATTTATTATCAAACGGAATATTAGGAGATTTTTCTCCAACAGACAATGATAAAGCGCGTTTTACAACATGCCAAGCCTTTTCCCGCCACATCTCACACCAAAAGAAGACAGAGAAGAAATGTAGTGGCGGATCTAGAGGGAGTTGGGGGTTTTAACATCCTCTGAGCGAGCGAGGAGCCCCATATAGTTGTTACGTTTTATTATCGCAAATCTCGCCTGTAAGTATTACACTGTGGTTAAAATAGCGTTGCATTGAGCGATGACACTGTTGGATTTGACAATTGAACAATTTGAATCATGGATTGTATTCTATAAAACAAGCGCTTTAATTGGTTGATATGGACCCGCCCACTCTCGTGCAGTATCCTTTGCCTTTGTAAGTTGGAAAGCGTCCAACGGCCTTGTGATGGTCGAAAACCGATGGTGACTTTTTGAACAAAACAAAAAAAAAACAAACAAAGACTAACTATGAAATCACTTTATAGTATGTGATATATTCCTATCGCAGACTGTACATGTATATCGTTTTATGACAAACACTAATTTCATTCTACATGTAATTCTGCCGATTTTCTATTCAGGGCATTTTCAATTTTCGGTGGTGCAAATTGAAAACGCGTACGTGCGAAGAAAGCATATCCAGCTAATACCGGAGCACCCGTTGAAAAAATATAAATTCATATGTGGTAAAACATCGAATTTAATTAAAAGTTTACTGTTTTGTTGTCACGAGTATCAAAAATACCATGTTTCAAATGTGTGCATACCTATTTTAATTGTCGTCATGACAATATTTAAACTTGCGATCTGGAAAAAAAGAAATCCTCGTGCAGTGCACTTTTTACTGTAATGGCGAATATAATTTATATGTTCACTATAAAATAATTGATATCACTTATATAATATACCAAAACTAAGTACGTTTAATGTTATTGATCATGTTGATGTACTGAAGAAAAAACGGCCGTGTTTTTCAATCGCAAAAATATGCCCCTGGTGACGTGTATCATTTTAGGGCCAGACCTGAGACAGATATTATTTGAAGATCATTACAGATTACCCACACTGACAAATTTAATAAGATTTTGCATAGGGGGTCCTCTGAATACTTCGCTCAGTAAAAGGGGGTCTACCAACTTGGATACATTCCACGAGAAAGTGGGCGGGCTTATAAAAAATCACCAATCAGATTCTTTGTTGCATTGTATAGTTTGAATAAAGCCAAAATGAATTGTAAAACTGTCAAATCCAATTGTGTCGTCACCCAACGCAGTGTATACTTTTGAGCGAGATTTACGATAAATGTTAAACTATCTCTAGTTAGATAAGTTTAATTAATGGTTAAGTGTTAAAACTACTTAAACATCAAACTTCCGCCAGAGTTCGTTAATGGGTGCGGGGACTCAGAGGGCTAAGAGTAAGTTGCTTAAATACATTGTACATGTAGCAATGTACATGTATTATGCACTGAAGAAAATCCTGGGATGTCGCATTCAAAATGAAATGTTTAATGTCACAAGGATATATATTAATTAACAGATAAATATAAGAATTCAGTTTCTAATTTATTATATGAAAGAATTAATTGGTTTGCGGCCGATTTTTGACGCTTGCGTCAATATGTTTCTTGTAGACTTTTGACACGCAGTTTCTTTGCACTTGAGACGCAGATCAAGCTATAATTGCAATTTGTAAATGTGAAATTTAAAACTAAATAAACGTGCCATGACTAAAACTGAGTCAAATTTTTGAATGCATTAATTAATATTTAACAGTCTTATTAAATTGATTACAAATAGGTTCTTATAGAGCCGTAGTCATGCACTTTTATACACAAACGTACTGCAAGCACACCCCCTCGAAAAGTTCTACGATATCCGCTTCACTATACATTATGTTATTATCTCGCCTACTATGACGTCATAATATTTCACAGACTTAGCCAAGGTAAAATATTTTGTATGCTTCCTCATTACCCCTGCGAATCTGGTCTTTCAAATCAGCTGATCGCTGTGTATGTATGACGTTCTTGTGTATTACGTTACTACGGATATGACGTTTGACACAAGTATCATTACCCGCGTATTACACATTCGATC